AAGTTTAAATAAAGAACATTTCACATGAAACATCTTTTTTGAGTGACTAAACAACTCATAAGAAATCTATTTAAGATACAAAATCAAACGTTAAACGATTAACTTTAATTCCACAAAGTTTTTAATCAATTGTAAATGAGGCTAAATACTCATTCGCACTTTCATGGCTCATCCGCGGTAATCTTCTTGAAGGGAAACCCAATTAGGGAAACCAATTTGTCTGCAATTATTTGCCATTAAGACAGAATCCACTTTGTAGAGGAGCACAGGGAAACGGGGACTCTAACCATGACTAACACAATGGCCAAGAAAAAGAAGGCGCTGACAACGAAATGGCCCAAAACCCAGATGTGTGAAGAAAAATAATAACAGAAGAGACAACAAGTCGAGAGAGTACAAAAAAAGAAAGAAAAGAAAGCAAAATAGTTGGCGATACGGACAAAAGGACATAACATACGCCAAGGATCTGAAGAGAGTCTCGGGTAAATATTTATTAGAGCCGAGGAAAAGGAGCTCTCCTCAATGGCCACTCAAATTAAGGCTAACAACGTGCAACAGCAGCAGCAGCAGCAGGAGCAAAGTAGCAATTTTCCTGGAGAAAAAGAAAATTGAAAGGATGCTGCTCCTGTCCCAGCTGCGGTTAACCACTCGAGTCGATTTATTTTGTACACAATTTGCCTTGAAAACTAACGCCCCGTGTCCCCGAGATCCAGGATCATCCAAGGAGCTCAAAAAAAAGGACACGATGCGCCATTTGTTGCCTTTTTTACAGCTCACAGGAGCTGCCCCGGGCTGCTGCTCCTGCTCCTGCTCCTGCTCCTGCTGTTGTTGTGCAAACAAAGTGCGAACGGACCTTTGGCAAATAGAACAAGGATAAGCAGGGTCCTGGTCCTGGACCTGGACCTGGTCATGGGCATGACTAACAAGAACACGCTCTTTGGAATAGGAGTACCGCAAGATGCACAAGTATGCAGGGAGAGAAAATACTTGGGAATGAAATGGAATATATATCATATATTTAAAAGAGATGAAGAATCAATAGCATTTAATACACCAAATATATATCTATATATAAAGCAAATCTCTCTCCCTTTGAAAATATTTTTATTTTCAATAACTAGACCACATTTTCTTGCTTTTTGCTATACATTTCTTGCTGTGTATTGAACAGATAAAGACCAAGTGGCTGGCAACAGCTCCCGGAAAGGTCAACAGCGACAACAATGACAATGGCGGAATGACTGAATGACTGAATGACAAACTAAAGAAACCGAAACGAAACGAAGAACCAAAACCACACAACGGAATGGATGACAAATAAACAGATGTAAAGTGTGAAAATTTAACAAATGAAGTGCGTGTAACTCTCGGATACAATTGTATCTGTGGAAAATGCTGCGGAAAAGAGATGCGGAGAGGCAATTCAGGTGAAAATTTCTTAATGTGTGGGGGCGTGGCCATTTAGGGAAGGTGAAGGAGACATGTGCGAGAACAACACATCAAGAATAATATTGCCACAAAATAAACAACAACATTTGATGTGGCTTAAGAAATGTGGCCAAAAAAGAGGCTCATGAAATAATATTAACAATAGGGGTTAAAAAAGGGAGTTACTTGAATTAAAAATGAAGAAAATTAAAAGCAAATTGTCTATATAATATTTATTTCTTTATTTTAAAACGTTTTGCAATAAATAATATAGAAATATATTTAGAAACTGTGGCCAAAAGAGGCTCATAAAATATTAATAACAATACGGGTTAAAAAAGGGAGTTACTTGAATTAAAAATGAAGAAAATTAAAAGCAAATTGTCTATATAACATTTATTTCTTTATTTTAAAACGTTTTCCAATAAATAATATAGAAATTAGCTCAACTCTTAGAAGAAAATTTAACTTTATATTGTTAAGGTGTTCTTAAAATATTTAATTATTTATTAAAATAATTTTTGGATGAAAATTTAGGGGGGGAAATGATTTTAAAACTATAAGTAAGCCTTTATCCCACATTTTCTGTACCTTTAAATGTATTTTCCTGAAGCTCCACTGGCTATCGTATTTATCTGCTTATTTTTTAATGGATGCTCGTGCCAAGTGGAGTTTGCTAATTTCACAGAAAATTATGCGCTTAATTAGCGATACACACACACAACACACACACACACACACATCGACACCGAAATCGTGCCCCGAGTGAAGTGTGTGTGAGATTTCACACTTTGCTGACAGGACGGCTGCCGCCGCGCCCCTTTATTCCTGCCCCCCGATTCCTCCTCCCCATCCTTGTTCTCCTGTTTAAAAGCTCACTGAGCGAAAAATAATTGCGAAATATTAATTAATGATTTAGCTAAAATATAAACAATAGAAAATTGTACTAATAGTTTCAGAAAAAGGTCATTTAAGAAGGAATACAAATACTTAAAGTATTAGGAGTTTAAAACCAGAGTTAATGAAAATTTCAAGAGATTTTATGAGTTAAAAAATGTGTTTTAAATTATTTAGAACTATATTTAGTAAAGTCGTTAAATAATGTCTAATATAATAAAGCAAACTTGTCGTTTAGAATTTAATATTACTGATCATCTTGGGGAAAAAGTAATACTACTGATTATCCTTGGGAAAAAGTGACAGATCCTCTCTCTCAGCATGAAAATTCTAATCAAAAGCCTTTGTATATTAATTTCTTGATGGCTTTTTTTCTGCCAGTGTACGAGTGTTATTAATAAGCTCGGACCGCCAACCCTCCCTTTGTGCCGTGTGCTTAATCGTCTCGTTTCATTGTTTTAACTCCGATGAGAGGACGCAGCTCAATTGCTCAGCTCAACCCCTTTGAGCTTATTAGTTGCGCCTACGGGTGGGCACAGGACACAGGACGCAGGACACAGGGAAGCTGTGATGCAAAGGAATCGCTGTACAGAGTATAGAATACAGAATATGACTATATATATGCGGAGAATACGGAGACAGATGCGGTTGCCACTTGGCTGCACCCGTTCAGTTGCAGATGCAACAGAGAAAGAGAGAGAAAAGGAGGGTCCTTTGCACCGCTCTCCCCTCCCGTGTGTAATTAGCCTCCTGTTTTATTATTATTATTTCTTTTTGTCTTTGTGACGCTCCATTCGAAGCAACTCACTTGCAAAGTGCACGCTTTCAAAAAGCCACCGATTTTATAAACAAAACAATGGCAGTTGAGGGAACTAAGGAATGAATGTATAAGTTAGCCTTAAGAAGAAGTCAAGGATTCTAAACAAGGAAAAACTCAAGCTCAATAATTTATAATGGGTATTAGAAACAGAATAAGTAATTGGAAGTTCAACAAGAAAGTCAAAGAAAGCCAAAACTTATAGAATATTTTCGTTATTTTTATTCTATAATTTTTTCAACAAATCAAACTTTAAAAAAATCATAACTAAGCCAAAACAGCCTGAAATTCAATTCGGAAAACTGTTCAGTGCTAGTTTTTAATATATTAATAAATCTGCATACTCAATTTTAAACTTAAACCAATTTAAAATTTTTCCATTTTTGGAAAATGTTACAGATGTAAATTTTAATCATAAAAATACAAAAAAAAATTTCAAAATTTGTTTTCTGTCTGAGATGGCTAGATCGACTCGGCTTTCGATGCTGATCAAGAATATATATGATTTATAGGGTCGGAAATGGCTCCTTCACATCGAAACAAGCTTCTGACTAAAATTATAATACCATTCTTTGAACCGATATTTATCTATATTTATATGAGAATTTCTTCTACAAATCAAAATCTAAAAAACTCATAACTAAGCCAAAAAAGCATAAAATTCAATTCGGAAAACTGTTCTTTGCTAGTTTTTAATATATTAATAAATCTGCATACTCAATTTAACATTTAAACTAATTTCAAATTTTTCCATTTTTGGAAAATGTTACAGATGTAAAATTTAATCATAAAAACACAAAAAGAAATTTCAAAAATTTTTTTTCTGTCTGAGATGGCTAGATCGACTCGGCTTTGGATGCTGATCAAGAATATATATGATTTATAGGGTCGGAAATGACTCCTTCACTTTCTTTTAAGCTTCTGACTGAAATTATATTACTCTATAGGGGTATACGAAATGTATCGAATTAATCTAGACATATTAGGCTTTAGAATCTCTTAATTATATTAATTATAACTTTATCTCAAATAAGGTTTAAATAATTTCTTCCCATAGTTTTTCCAAGTAATTAACTATCTTCCAATATTGAGGTATTTTTAATATTGCAACGATAGAAATATTTAAAAAATAGAAATTCTTGTAATTAGTCTAAAATATACATACATACTACATATGTATGTATATTAATCTTCTTTCCAACTAACTATTTGAGTGGGGATACCACTAGACAATGTATAAATTAATTTTTTTAAGATATACGAGATATTCATAATATATATAATGAATATATTAGGCAAAACGCTGTCAATTTGTTTACAAACACTTTGTGTCTTCTGTTCCACATTTTAAACATTATTTAACAATAATAGATTTTTTAATGTTATTTAAGTTGGCTTTATAAATATGAGTATATAATTTAAAATATGAGACAGCTATATGATAAATATAAATGATATTAATCAAATGGTTTAGAACATACAAAATAAGAAATACTGAAATGTGAAATATTTCCACAACTTCAAAGAATCTGTTTATTTGTTTTATTGAAATATAAAATATCGAAGGCTTAAAGCTTATTATACTTAAAAAAAGTTCAAAACTAACTTGAATTAATTATTCTGGAAAGTACATAAGCCTTTTGAAATATTCATTTATCAGTTTTATTAATGAAATGCTTTTTAAATGCAAATAAACTCATATTTTAAAAACAAAGCTAACTAAACGACATAAAGTTTACTAACAGATCCCAAACCTTTGCCAAGTGATTGACTGTTTTTTGGGATATTTATTAATCTAATTTCGAGTCACAAGTCACCGTTACCAGTCACCTGTCACAGTCACTGTTCACGGACTTACCTGCAAACTGGGCGCCAAAGTGCTGCTGAAAGTGTCCACGGAACTCGTGCGGCGTGCTGAAGCCGGGCGGCAGGAAGCCCCTCAGATAGGCGGCCGCCGCCAGCGTGGTCATGTGATGGTGATGGGCGGCAGCGGCGTTGCCCGGATCCGCGGCGGCCGCATAGCCGGCGGCGGCATAAAAGTTGGCCGGATTGAAGACGGGCAGCTGGCAGTGGGCGGCTGCTGCAGCCGCGGCAGCTGCTGCGGCCGAGAGTCTGGTCACATCGGGCGACAAGGATCGCGAGTCGCGGAGTCCTTCCAATTGCTCACGTTCCCGTTCCCGCTGCTCCCGCTGCTCCCTCTGCTCCCGCTGCTGTTGCTGTCCGGCGGCGGCGGCAACGGCTGCGGCGGCTGCGATCGTGGGCTTTAGCTGTAGGGGCGTACTGGCCGGCGGCGGTGGGGTGGCCGCCGGTGATGGTGGCGCCTCCGAGGGCGTGGCATTGCCGCTGGCGGCGCTTTGCTGCTGATAGGCGCCCAGGCCGAGGATTTCCTGGATGGCGAACGGCGTTCGCATTTTGGTGGCCTGCATTTTTTTTTTTTTTTGACTGCCGACGGCTTTCTTTTTTCGGGGGGTCACACTAAAAGTCGAAAGGGTTCTTCTTTCCGAGTTCCGAGTTCCAAGCTAACTTTATTGCACTTTCATTGCAAGGCAGCAACGGCAACGGCAACGGCAGCGGCAGCGGCAGCACTGGCAGCGGCTATCGTACCCATACAGGCGCACACACATATACACGCGAACGCACACTGGAAAAAAACGGTCACTTCACGCACTTTTTTTGGTTTGGCTTTTTCGGTTTTCGGTTTTCGGTTTACTTTTGCTATTGCTGCGTGTTTCTGTTGTTGTTGTTTACTACTACTTGTTATTTATGCTTTTAAATGTTGTGGCGTGTGTGAGTGAGTTCTTTTTTTCGTTTGGAAATTGTAGTAATTTTTAACCCGAACGCTGCGGCGTTCGAAAACTAACTGAAATTGAAAAGCGAATTGCACGCCAGCAAAAGCGTCGCGTCGGCGTCAGCGTTGGCGTTGGCGTTGCCCGGTTGCGTCGCCGTCGGCGTCGCAGTTAGCTCCCACACACGAGGCTGTAGGAACAAAAATTCTGCCCGCTTCGCTGTCGCAGCGGCCGCAGCGCCATCTTTGCGAGCGCAAGGGGATGGCAAGGCGAAAACGAACCACTGTAGTTGTCTCGCTCGCTCTCTTCGAACTTCCAATGGAGAGGGGTAACCTGCAGGCCATTTCACTCGCTCTCACTGCACGCGCATAGTGCTTTCTCTTTTCGCCCTGGAAGTCCGCTCACGGACAGTGTAAACGCTGTGCATGAGATCTGCCCCACTGTGTGTGTGTGTGTGTGTGTGTGAGTGTTAATTAAACGCCGTTTGCATTTTGGCTTCGAGATTTTCGGTTTTTCGATTTCAGTTTGTTTTGCAACGCCAAGCTATATGTCCATGTGTGTGAGTGTGTGTGCTTGCGGTTGTTTTTTTTTTTTTGTGCTTAAGTTATTTGTTTCTGTTTGATTTTTAATGTTTATTTAGTGGGTTAATAAATAAATAGTAGCTGGGGAAATGTCTAAGAGTTGGAGAGTTCCACAGGGTATTAATTCTTTTGGAAACTGAAACATTTCCCGCCAAAATGTTGCCAATAACAAGATATTCGAAATGTTTTCAAAGTTTATTTGTGTTTTTATTCCCTTAATTCATTATGCCATAATTATTATTTAGTAAGAAATATTTAGATTTTTAATAGTTCTGATAAATTAAGTATTTAATAAACAATATCATTGTGTGGCAACGTGAACTTTTTTATAGTTTCTCCATGAAGAAATCTGCTCTTCGTAATTAAGATTTAAACCTTTAATTAAATTGTACTTTCTTCTTGCCAAAATTAAAGACCCAACAATGAAGAAAATTAATTCACCAGAAATACCACACACAAATTGTTCTTAACTAATTAAACTTTTAACTTTACGGAATATAAAACACACAGGTTGAAATTGGACGTCCCTCTCTCTTTCCTTTCGCTCTTCATCTCTCTTTCACTTCTTCCTCTCTGAAAGTTAAGTTTTTCCAGGCGTTCTCCCCACTTTTCCGCCGTTTCCGCTTGCCGCTTTCCACGTTTGTCCCCAAATTGCGAGCATTGTTCAGGCCAAAGTTGGTCATGTTAATTAAGCCTCGCTCTCGCCCCCTCTCTTTCCCTCGGCGCTATGTACGTCTCACTCTTATCGATTAGCTCATTCTACCTCTCCCACCGCTCCCTCTCTCTTTCTCGCCTTCCATCAGCCTCTCTCTCTCTCTCTCTCTCTGAGCTGCACTTGCAAACATTAATTAGTCGCATTGCATAACAATTGCATAATCAATATGCCATTTCAATTAACTGCTTGGTTAGCAATTAGTCAATCTAAAGAACCACCTCGAAACCCCATCCAAAATGAAGCCAAATGCAACCCAAAAACCACCCACAAGGCCACCCATTAGGCCTTGAATACTATTTTTGTAGGCCACTGTTGGCATTATTAAGTAATTAGCACTTAATAACTAAAACTACACAGGGAAAATTAGTAACTAGAAATATAATTTGACATTATATTATTTAATCCAATCCTTTTTACTTGTTTAATGGTATTAAAGTAGAAATAAATTATAATAATTAAGAACAAGAGCTTTATTTAGGCTGAATTAATTGGAATCCAAACAGTTAAAGGTTATAGAAACTCAACAAATTCTATAAAATTATATTTAATCATTAAAATTCTTCAAGTTATCTAGGTCTTATTATTATTAATAACTAGTTTTTATTATAATAAGAACCAAAGTTTAGTAATATTGATAATATTCTTACTTTGCAATTGATATTAGGCTTTGTTTCTGCTTTACCATCTTTATAAAAACTCTTTTTTTGCTGTTCCTTTCTGTATATGTTTGTTATTATATGTACATATATTCTTCTATACTTAAACTCTTGTTTTTTGTAATATTTATCTCATCTTTCATCTTCACAAGTGCATTATTGAAACACATTAAAAATGACAATTTTGAAAGAGTGATGGTTTTCCATCTGCATCTCCACACTCGCCGTCTCGAGTGGCTTTTCTCTTTATTTGATTTAAGAGTGGATCTGAAATGAAATAAATCTAATTGAGAGATGGTCGGAAGCAGTTACTAAATGACTATAGGAATGGGAATATTAAATAGGGAATATATGGGAAAATATAAATATTATGACTGAAGAACTTGCATACATTTTAAAACTTAACTTGGCAGAACACCCAATTCTTTTAGTTCCATGTATTCCAAACTATTTCTAGATGCAAACCAGAGGTTTATCCATTATTTCACTTTAATAATATTAATATTATTATTATTTTAACTAGCCAAAAGGAACACTAATTCCCCTATAAACTTGCAGGAACACGTTTTACTTAGAACTTGAAATTTGTTCTGATCCTTTTGGTATATATTTTCTAAAACAAAAATCTCTTGAAACCAATGAACCTTTCCAGGTGCTTTTTTTTTTTGGGCCCCACTCTCCATAGTTAATTGGTTCTGCCATTCTAACACACACACACACACAGGATGCCGGGGCAAAGTGGTCAGAACACAAAAAAAAGTTCGATAAAAGGAATTTCCGTCTCGCATTGTCCTCGAGGAGCTGGCGTCGCACATTATATCCCATTTCCCATTTCCCATTTCATATTTATAATGTAATCTGCACTTGAGCCTCAAAGAGACGTCGCATAAATCACGAATATATGCGAATGGGATTCATACTATTCAGATTCTGATTCCACATGCAAGTCCACTTCTTGGGCTAAAAGCCTTTGTAATACTTGGAGTCCTTACTTGTATATATATATGTTTTATTTCTTCATTTGTGGCGCTGCCTTTTCTGTTTGATGTTCGACGGCCACTTGAGATGCATTTGGTGGAACTTGGCTTCTCCTCGGCTCTCCTGAGTTCGCTGGCGAGGTGTGAGCTCTCCTTTGAATTCACTTCGATTATTGGTTGATTGATCCTTTGATCCCTGATACCGCACCCATATACGCCATATACTCATTAGGCTAAAAGCCTATTATTGTGGCCCAACTAATTAACCCAAACGCCAGATGGCATCTGCCATCGATTGCAGCGGTTTTCTCATTTTTATTTCCCATTTTTCCTCTTTTTTTTCGCTTGTTTGTTTGTTTGTCTTTGCTCACTTGGGTTTCCCTTGGGGACTGGCACGGCCTTATTGTCCTTTCGGCCGCATATTAGCCGTGGCCATTGTTGTTGCTTAGCCAGCAAGGAGCAGGCAAGGAGGAGGTGCCAGGATGCACTGCCATTTGACTAATTACAAAAATCTATAGTATCCCAAGAGGCAGGTATATCTTTTTGGGTGGAATCTTATCGATAGAGAGTGGTAAATATTGGATTAAGTGGTTTCTATGCCAGGGTTTTCTTGTTATATTTAATATTTCTTGAAAGAAGGTTAAAATCAAGCCATGTTTTAATTGTTTCAAAATGTAGTTTAAGACATATTAACAAAAGTAAGTTGATAAATTCAAAATTAACTAGGTATGACACATATTTAAAGCTTTTGAGGCACAAAACAAATGTATATCTATCTTAAGGATAATATAATATGTATATATAATATTTTCTTGCCAGTTATGAAAGTTTTGCAGAGGAAAATCTAATATTTACACTTTTAAAAACTAAAAATCAAAAGATATTTTATGAAAAGATATTTCTGTTAGCGAATTTAATATTTTAAAGATTTCAAACAAACTATGCAAATATATTTCTAAAGATTAATAATATATTTCTCTTAAAATTATATTATAATATATATTTTATAACATATTGTTTAAGGATAACTTTACACCTTGGAAATTTCCCTAAATTCTATAGCTAATCAACGGTTGGTCCTTGGAAAATGGTGTGCTATAGCCTGGACTGTACCACGAAACAAATCCAGCAAAATCCAACCCAAAGTCAGACGAACACTCCCACCATTTACACATTGCCACATGGCCATTGTTCCTTCCATCGTTGCCCCCGTCGTTATCCTGCGCTCCTCTGACACGCTCCCAAATGGTCGACGTCGCTTTGAGCCACTTGGAAATCGTTAATTTCATAATTACATGTTTCATGCACACGCTCCGTGCTCCGTGCTCCGCACTCCGGACTTTGCGACTCGAGACTCCAAAATGGGGTATATATATGTTTGTATCTTATATATACATATATATTCGTATATCTGTATGTTTCGGGGCGTGTGTGAGTGGCACATAAGTGGCAGCCAGCCAGAAAGCCAACACCATTTTGGCCATAATTTAGTTTTGCCCGTCCATTAGCAGTTCAGGCCACATGATGAGGTGAGGTTTGAGGGGGCTTTTTCGGTGCCGGGGTTTCCTTTGTTGCAATGCCACTCAGCGGGAAATCGGCACCCAGGGAGGGGGGTTGCTGGGTTGAGGGGTTGAGGGGGGTTAGGTTCGGGACGAGGACGAAGTGGCCTCGAAGGAGCCACAACAACAACAACAAGGAAGGGAGCACAGACAGAA